AGCTTCCCTAATGCTGCCGCTGCGTTGGAGACGCGCATACGCAGCTGATCAGTCGACATCACACTATCAAGGTAGCAAAAGCGGGAAGTTGATTCCAGTACTTCGGCACCATTGCTGATTCGCGGCAATATTGAACATTGCACCTCCGGTGAAGGCTGAAAGAGACAGACTGTTTTGCTTGTGTTGATGGTGAGCCCGAATTTTGCCGCTGAAAAGCCAGAGCATTAGTCATGTGCTGCAACTCATCCGCGCTGTGTGCAAACAATGCACAGTCGTCAGCAAACAACAGCATACGGATAGTTGTCTCACGGACTAGAGTTCTCGCACCGAAACAACGGATATTCAACAACCCACCATCAATACGGTGCTCCACACGAACACCGTAAGCACAAGCGGCATCAAAAGCACAAAACATCATTGCATGAAGATATATATTAAACAGGGCAGGAGCTAAGACACAGCCTTGCTTCACACCAGAGACAGCTGCAAAGTCATCCGAGGTCTCTCCACTCAGTTGCACCCTCGCTCGCACACCACTGTGCAGACATTCAATTAAACTTACAAACTTACGCGGGCAACCAAACTTACCCAGCACCAGCCACAATGCCTCGCGGTTCACCGTATCAAATACCTTGGCGAAATCAACAAAAAGCGAGTACAAAGGCTGGTGTTGTTCTCTGCACTTCTCCTGCAACTGACGAGCCGCAAACACCATATCTGTAGTGCTGCGACCCGAGCGGAATCTACACTGCTCTTCCGCCACGTTAGGTTCCACAACCTGACTGACGAAGCGGTTAAGCAGGATTCGGGCAATCACCTTGCCCACACAAGCTAGCAAGTTGATGCCACGATTATTCGTGCAACATTGCTTGCTACCTTTGCCCTTGTACAGTAGTAGCACAAGGGCATCCTTCAGTTCAGCAGGCACCTCCTCCTCAATCCGTGCACGTTGCACCAAGTGATGCAGCGAAGTCAACAACGCGCGTCCGCCGTGTTTCAATACTTCAGGCGGGATCCCATCGGCCCCAGCACACTTGCCGTTTCGCAGCTGAACAAGTGCTCTCTGCGTCTCATCCAGTGTCGGTGTGTTCGCCAGTCTCGTCTTCACATCGTGCTGCTTGAGGCTGTTCAATGTAGGTCAGTCGATTTCTGAACGGTTGTTCAAGAGACAGTCGAAGTGTTTCCACCAGATCTGCAGTCTGTGTGCAGGTAGCGCCTGAACTACCATCGATCAGCGTCCTCAGCGGCTCAAATCTAGGTCCATACACTGCGTTCAAGGAGTCAAAGAATTCATTGTGTTGGCGGCGTTTGGCGTAGCATTCCATCTGCTTCGCCTTCTCCGTCCACCATGCATTTTTAATGCGACGGAGCTCTCGGGTCAGTCGCCGTCGAAGTTTGCGAAACTGACTCTGCTTCCGTAAGTCACTGGGGTCTTCCACATGTGCATCAAATGCTGCATTCTTCCCCGACACCAATGCGCCAATCGTCGCATTGTTGTAATCAAACCAATCACGCCGCTTATAGTTTGCGCGCCCGATGGTGTCCTCGGCAGCAGCTGTCACCTGGTCGCGAATGTGATGCTACAGGTCGCCCACTGTGGCTATGCAGTCCACATCACACAGGCGTGCAGCCATCACCTTCTCCAGCTTAGTACGTTTCGCCACAGTACCGAGGGCGAAAATGTTAAATTTACGCCGATTCACGGCGGGAGTGCAATACATAGATTTACGAAAATATATGTACAGTTTGGTGCGCACCAATCTGTGATCAGTGCCACAATCAGCTCAACGCAGTACACGTGTCATGCGCACTTCACGCATGTCACGCTGACGTACGATGACATAGTTGAGCAGGTGAGCGTGACCACTCCGTGGGTGCGTCCAAGTTGCTATATCACTCGCACTCAGTGCCAACCGAGTGTTCGTGATCGTCAGGCCGTGAGTGGCACACAGTGAGAGCAGCCTGTCACCGTTCGCATTCGTTGAACCAATACCATGCGAACCGATAACATCTGCCCACACCGATGCATCACGCCCAACGCGCTTTGAAATCACCCAGCAGAAGTAGGCGGTCGCTCCTCGGCACAGCGTATCACGGAGGATAGCTGAGTGTAGAATTGATCACGCGTGTCATCAGGATAACACATGGTCGGACCGTACGTGCTTATAAAAGTGGCAAACTTACCTCTTCCGAGTCGTAGACGAACAGTCATCTGTCGCGCGCTAATGCCTGTTGGTTCACCCACCAGCTCACCATGAAGGCGATCGAATATTGCAAATCCAACCCCATGATCACGTGGTGCTGAGGCGGCGTTGCCCATCCAGTAGAATGTGTAGCCAGCACCTGCTTCATGCAACTTACCTTGCTCAGCGAGCCGGGTTTCACTGAGCGTCGCAATATCGGTGTGATAACGCGCCAGCTCCATCGCGACCAGTGCCGTGCGTCGCTCTGGACGTTCGCTGGAGTTCCGGTCCAGTAGTGTGCGCACGTTCCAGCACCCGATGCTGAGTGCTTTGCGCATAGGCATACGATTGCATTGGTAGGCAATCGCACGTGAAGTGGTCGTTGTGCTTCGGAGGTTTGCTTGAGGGACTCCGCCCGGAGCCTTTGGCTCAATAACCTGACCCACAATGCAGTGGGGAGTAGATGCAGCTTAAGAATGTGATTGCAGATACAGATTTGGATCTGCTTGACGGCCGTCACACGCAGTTTTTGAGGTACTGGAACGATTTATATATGTTTTGCGACCGTAGCAGAATACGCACCTCCGACCACGGCCAGACGCAGGTGGGTTTTGGCGGGTTTGCACCAATTTGACCAGGGGCTGTCTGGCTTGAGGCGTGCAGTAGCAAACCATTGAACACCCGGTGGTGCCCTCCCACCGTCAGAGACAATGCGTGGCGCTCGTGCTCTACGCCAATCGAGCTGTGAGCTTATAACCCGTAGACCTGTTGTCTCCCATGGCTAGGTTTTACGGGAAGAGGGCCATCGACCACTTCCTAACCTCCGAAGAGGATGGACTAGGATACTGGCAGGGCGCCCACACCTGACAGGAGAACGACTCGGGTCCTCAGCCAAAACCTTCGATTAAATGTACACCCGAAAGGCAGCGGGTCTGGCACATGGTCAGTTCACTGACTCATGCGGATTGGTGTCCTGGATCTTAGCAGGGAGAAGGGCGAAACCCAACTCCCACCCAGCGGTCGTCACGAGGCGTCCAGGACATGAGCCAATGGCGCAACAGTAGCAGCAGTGGGTAGGTCATCTGTCAGGATCTAGCCACAACCAGCCTCAGCGTACCATATATATATATATATATATATATATATATATATATATATATATATATATATATATATATATATATATATCTGTCGCATCCAAAATCTTCGTGTCGGTCCTACTTGGCAGGCTTTCAACGACTAGAGAGGAGTTTTCCCGAGAAGAACAAGCTGGATTTCGTCCAGGCCGTGGCTGCATCGACCAAATCTTCACGCTTCGGCAAGTTCTCGAACTTCGTCACATCCACCGGCGGCCAACAATCGTAGTGTTTTTGGACATCCGAGCGGCATTTGATTCAGTAGATAGGTCTGCGTTGTGGAACTGTTTACTGAAGAAAGGTGTGCCCGACAAGTTTGTAACCATCCTGAAAGTACTTTACAGTCACACGTCGGGCAAAGTTAGGGCTTACGGCACGCACTCCTCTTCATTCGCTGTGACCAGCGGTGTTCGCCAAGGTTGCCCTATTTCACCTTTCCTCTTCAATTTCGCCATCGAAGATGTCCTCCAAGGAGCACTGGAAGGTGTCCAGGACTGCGGTGTTGAGCTTCTCCCTGGAGACAGACTCACGGACTTGGACTATGCCGATGATATCGCCTTGCTGGGGGACGACCCACAATCCGTCCAGAACGCTCTGGACCGCTTGGCGATGGAGGCGTCTAAGTACGGCCTGTGCTTCACTCCGGGAAAATGTAAAACGCTGCTCCAGGATTGGCAGGTGCCTGAACCCGCGCTCACCATTGCTGGACATGTTCTGGAGCAAGTCCCTTGCTTCACTTACCTAGGGAGTTGCATCACGGCTGGTGGCGGTGTTGGAGATGAAGTCTCACAACGGATTGCAAAGGCCCGCCTTGCATTCATCAAACTGAGACATCTATGGCGTCGTCGTGATGTCACTCTCAAGCTCAAGGGCAGGGTGTACAATGCTTCCGTCCGTGCAGTACTCTTGTACGGCTGTGAGACTTGGCCTATTCGCTCGGAAGATGTGAAGCGGCTATCAGTCTTTGATAATCGCTGTCTACGAAGGATTGCTAGGGTGTGGTGGCAACACCACGTAAGCAACGCAGAGGTGAGAGACCGCGTGCTTGGGGCGAATAGTACCAGTCTTCAAGACGTTATTCTCCGACATCGCATGCGCTGGCTCGGGCATGTTCTGCGCATGCCAGCCCATCGCCTTCCACGTCGAGCGCTATTTGCACTCCCAGGGAGCGATTGGAAAGTGCCGCGGTGGACAGCCGATGACGTGGAGAATGAGTATGAAGAAGGTGACCTCAAGTTTGGCAGCAGTCGGACCAGTCCGCCTTCCAGGTTGGGGACCGCGAGATGCTGAATTGCAGTGGTTGGAAACATTGGACGTCATGGCCCGCAACAGACATCAGTGGCGGCAATGTTGTTCCGCAATTTCACCATCCCTTTGCTACACACAAAAACTCACAAAACAAAACAAAAAATACAAAATGGCGTGTGTAAAACCAAAAAAATTCGTTTCCCATATTTTTTAATCGCATTAGTGTCCCCATCTTCTTCACCTTTTTCTTCTGCCATGGTTCTGATGGCACAATGTCTGTTAACAGACTGTGAATATATATATATATATATATATATATATACTGAATTTTTTCGTTGTAAGAACTTGTATATGCACTTGAATGCCCTTCCTTATTTGATAAACTGTCCACGCCGTGTTGCCACGTCAGAATCGTTATTTCTTTCACATTTCAGCTTCGATAAAACGGCAGTATGATTAGTAACGACCCATCTGCTGTCAGAAAACCCTTGATGGGTTACGACAACTCGGTTATCCAGGAAGATAACAGTGACTGTTGTTCTTGTACGCGGAGCTGGGTAAAGACATTTTTAATATTTTTTACCGCCATCATTTTGGTAAGTATTCTTTCTAAGAGTGTAACCATTCACAGATCGTCGCTCTGGCGTTGCTGAGTCTTGGTTCATATCTCGTTATTATGAGGCTTTCTTTCATCCCGAAATTAGTAGGGGAAGTGGCTTACGTGAATCATTTTCTACTCTTTGTCATCGGAATTTTATTGATAGTTGCTTGTGTGATCGGTTTTGTCGGAGTGTCCAAGAAAGATATCAGGCTTTTGACAGCGGTAGGAAGAGTAGTTATTGAATTAACGAAGCATTCAGTACGCCGGACTCTTGACCTGCATCTTGCTGGTTCAAATTGCGACAGGAATCTTGGCTCTTTGTTATTCTGAATTATTCCAAGATTGGTTCGCATCAAGATTGCGCACTACGATGCAGACTCGATATACGTCAGTCGAACCGGACATTTTCAATGCAGTCGATCACGTACAACAAAAATTTAAGTGCTGTGGTTCAACGGGCTATGCTGATTGGAGAATGAGTTCTTTCCAAAATTCATCTGATGCACCTGATGTGAAGGCAGACATCTTTGGTTACGGAGTTCGAACTCCAGATTCGTGTTGTATCCGCAGAACGGATAATTGTGGTTTCATCCCCCATCCCTCAAACATTTATCATCAGGTAAGTGGTAAATATTGTTCACTGAAATGTTGCCGTGGTGACACTGGCATCATTGTTCCAATTTGTCCGTCGATATGCTTTACCAGGACTGCTGCTCACGTTAGATAGTAGATGGACATGGCACTAGCTCAATGCATAGTTTGAACTCTTCGCGTCGGAACTGATGTGTAGCTAGATTATATTGTATGCTATATCCAATCATGAATGAAAAATGCATTGCGTCTCAGGTATTCGCTTACCTTGTCACATCGGACATTTTTGGCAGGAGCCGAGATAGAAGTCCCAGAAAGTAAATCGAATGTCAGCGCTTTTATTTGTACAGTAAAAGGTTCCTTGTTTGCCCAGCTATAAATAACGATACCATTGATGCTGCTAACTGGGAGGAACGAAAAGAGCACGGCACACATAACGATCGCGCGTTGAAACTGAGACGAGCGCCAACCAAAGACGGTGTTCAACTCAAACGATCGAACTTAACAAGCAGTTCAACAATCCTCACCGATCGCCTACGTGTACAGAGAAATAGTAATTTCGGTCAAAGTTTTACACGAGCATACCGAGGAGCCTCCCGACTGTTACATATTCCTTCCCCAGAATGAATTATATAAGCAGTCTTTCGGTCTACGCGAGGACTATCCGTCACCAGCCAGCCTACTGCGAGATCAGGCCGTCATACCGATCCAATAGACTTTATGGTGGTGTGAACTGCACCCGATGCAGCTGCTAGGGGAGCAGTAGCGCGAACGGATTCTAGTGAGCTCCCACCCGTGTCCTCACTACGGTGTCGAAAAGGAAAAGATATTTGTGGGCGACAGTTCATAAAGTTCAAGCAGCTAGCTGAGTGGTAGGTTCATTGTGCTTCGAGTTGATTTGCGGGAGTCCAGCGAAATGTGCAACTAAGAGATAAGAAAGCGACGGTGTATATGGAAAGCAAAGTGGAAGACAGCAGCGTAAATACATAGCTACACACAGGAGTATGTACTGAAAAAAGACGCGCGCATCTGCTTTTAAGGTATTCAAAAGGTTTTCTTTTTTGGTAGTTTCGGAACGTTTTTGCTTTTTTTGTGGATTGTGAGAATCATCATCACCGGCAGTATATCAGGCATTAAAACTGATGCTTCGCTACCGCATAGGCATAATAACATACAGAAGAAACAGTAATGTAAGAAAATGGGGCCAAGCGTATGACTTTTATCCTCATCAGCAACAACAATGCATCAGTCATTTTGACTGATGCTTCACAGCCGTACAACCACGGTGATATAAGGAACGAGGAATAATGGCATACACCTTTAGTATGTTAGGCAAACATTCAGAGTCAAGGCGCCTACACCTTGTCAACAACATACCATCACAAACAGCTGGCTATGGTGTAAAGATAAGACGGCATCAGCGGGACAACTTCCTTGCAGCTTTCACTTTACCGCATTATAATCAGCTATCGCCACACAGATAACAGCACCAAACACACTTTAAGCAGGCAGTTCGACTACGAGACGACAGCAGACAGCTGATGTCGACTGCGAGCCATGTACTGTAACGTCTCAAAGCAAGCACAAGGCGGGTCACATGGACTCCAGCCTGGAAGGCGAGACGGACCGATGACACCCAACTTGGGCATCAGAGACAACATTTCCTGTTGCCAAGACAACTTCAGCCCACCTCAAGCCTTGCGACACTACATCTAGCAAACAAGACAAAATCCTCCACGCTAAACAGTAACCCGACCAGGCCAACGCAACTTATTCAGTGATATCTGTTGTTCTAAGAAGAGCAGTGCAAAACACACACTAGCTGATTATCACTGCCTAGTTCTCGCCTACGCACATCATCGTTGCGGACACGCTGGTTCCACCTGACACCAACAATGCCTCGCGGATTTGAAGTCGCCGCAGATCGGAGGGACAAAGTTTCACTCCCATAGAGTAGCACGGTCCTCACTGTGGCCTGGTAAACACAGCCTTTCAGAAAAAATGGAACACACTTTCTGTCCCCATAGATGTCGTAGATTCAAGAAGGCAGTCCAAGCTTTCGCAATACGTGAACTGACTTCAGTGATTATCCGTCTATCATTGCTGATGCAGCTATCAATGTAAATGAATTGATCAATCGCCTCGAGAACTTCGTTATCAAGAGTCCAAGGGGTTTGAATTGGCTGGTGGTTCTGGAACAATATTGTACTTTGAAGGTGCGCAGCGTATGCCAAGTGATGGGACTACTCTAGAGAGGTTATCCAGGGTTGATTGGGCTGTCTCAACCTCGTTAGAAAGTAAGACAATGTCGTCCTGGGTTTTGAAAAACATTTGTAGCAGCACGGAAACGAAGCATGAAGGAGTGAGACGCCATCGCTATGGGAAATAACAAACGCTTATGAAATCTTAGAACCGAACTGAAGTTTTGACTGCCTTACTACGTCGAATGATAGTACGTCGATTAGTAAGTTTGGTTGAGGCTGTAGGTTCCGCTAAGGGAAAGTGACTGGTCTGAGGTGCTAGAGCAGCGCCACACGTACCGCATCTGATTGTAGCTGACAACGCAGGCGAACCGGAAGGGTAACCAATACTACAACAAAACCGGATAGACAAAGGGAGCTCGGTTTGCGGAGTGGTGAGTCTATCACGCCCTTTGTCCGGGTCTAACCTGGCAGCTGACGCAAGTTCCGGGCGCAATACGCATCACGTGAGGACGGCTAGCACGCCAAGTGGAAACCGACAGAGGCGGCTGACAACAAGCCAGTCAAAACACGTACCGAATGAGCGGATCGGAATAGTTTGGAGGCGTGGACAAAGCGCACCCTTATCCCAGAGAAGCTATGGCTGGTCCACACGGATAAGAACGAATGTTGGGCGTTAGCCAATGAACACAGACAAACCACTGGAAAGAACCGACCATTGAGAAAGGTTCAGTGAATAGTACTGTAAAATTATAAAACTGCCCAGTGTTTCTTTAATAACAGATTTGTGATTGTCGCCCCGACTTTCTTCTTGATTATCGGAAGGCTACTCAACACCGCAGACCGACAATAGCTTTGTTCCTGGACTCAGTTGACCGAAATACTTGTGCGTATGAAGGTGTTCCCATGAAATATGTGAACATTATACGTGCTCTATACTCGAACACGACAGGCCGCGTCATGGTCTACGGTGATTTATCGGATGCCTTTCCGACAACACGTGTCGTTCGTCGGAGTTGTCCACTCTCCCCATTTTTGTTCAACTTCGTCATGGGCTACATTATGGAGTGTTCCCTTGCAGAGCCTCACTATGCAGGCGTTGAGGCGCTGCCTGGTGAAGAGCTAGTTGATCTTGATTATGTGGACGACACTGTCCTGATTTTTAGCGATGTTGGGATAGCCCAATCAACCCTGGATAACCTCTCTAGAGTAGTCCCATCATTTGGCATATGCTGCGCACCTTCAAAGTACAGTGTTATTCCAGAACCACCAGCCAATTCAAATCCCTTGGACCCTTGATAGCGAAGTTCTCGAGGCGATTGATCAATTCATTTACATTGATAGCTGCATCAGCAACGATGGACGGATAATCACTGAAGTCAGTTCACGTATTGCGAAAGCTTGGACTGCCTTCTTGAATCTACGACATCTATGGGGACAGAAAGTGTGTTCCCTTTTTTTGAAAGGCTGTGTTTACCAGGCTATAGTGAGGACCGTGCTACTCTATGGGAGTGAAACTTTGTCCCTCCGATCTGCGGCGACTTCAAATCCTTGATTATCGCTGTCTGCAAGGCATTGTTGGTGTCAGGTGGAACCAGCGTGTCCGCAACGATGATGTGCGTAGGCGAGAACTAGACAGTGAGTCATGCTAGTTCTTTAGAACAGGTAGCACTGAATAAGTTGCGTTGCGTTAGACTATGTATGTCGGACCACTGCTTACCGAGGAGGGCCTTGTTCTGTTTGCCAAATGTCGAGTGGCGCGAGGCTTGAGGTGGGCAAAAGTTAACCTGCAACGGAAATGACGGCTTTCGGGATGGTTTCTAGCCAATGTGTAAACCAGTCGACACAGGTGAGGATATGGACGTGGTGTTTGCACGAAGGCAAAAGTTTGACTAGCTCGACTTGTGCGAAACGAGAGTCAGTAGCAAGAAGGGTGTAGAGTCGGCTTTTTGTGTGTCTGTACAGCTTGGTGCGCTGACACCCTAAGCTTGCGCGAGCCCAAATGCGAACACTGCAGTTGACCATAGGCCAAACGAAGATTTCGATTAGGAGCTTCTGGGAAGCACGTATGCCGGGATGCGTGTATTAAAAACGAGTCGGCTCATTGTCGTATGAACGACGGGGCGGGGAGAGGTTTGTGAGGTGTCACAAAAGATAGCCCCCTCAGTTGAAGTCAACGGAAAATCGCGTAGTTCCAAAGAGTTGTTGCGTCGAAGCCTGTCTACTTCGGGATCATCTTGTCGGGCTTCAGCCGTGACGGCCAGATCGGTTTTGATCCCCGGTGCTAAGCTGATGGTGGATTCGTGAAAGAGCGTCCGCGATGGGTGTAAGCGCCTAAGACACGTCGTACGTCTGTCCTTAACTGAGAAACGTAATCTAGATGTCTGGTTTCTTGCGGAGGATACTTCTCCGTGGCACCATTGATTATGTAGATCAATGGCTCGTGGTCAGTGAAAATTTCAGAATGTCGACCTTCGGAATAGTGCCGAAAATGTCTGATACCTAAGTAGATTGCGCTATCTGCTTATCGAAAGCCAGTTTTGTGTCATTTGGAAAGTGCAAACAGCGTTGTTTACCACCGCGCAAGTCAGTCGTTGGTTGCATGATGCTCACGCGATTAGAAATCAAACGTCAATAATAGTTGACCAGGCCACGGAGTCAGCGAAGTTACTTGGAGGAGATGAAAGCAGGGCAGTCCCTCAGTGCCTGGATTTTGTTTGATATTACTTGAATACCAGCGATGGATGTCTTATTCTTGTTCGAGGTGTCCTGCCTCTAGCCTTTAACTCAACAGTCTGATCCACAAGACAGTGGGGGATTTGGAGAT